CCTTACCTTTATGGGGCTAGGTTTACCATCAGGACAGACCATACTGCATTACGCTGGTAAAGAACATAAAAGAACCCAGAGGGACAACTGGCACGTTGGATTGGAAAAATAGACCAGTATAATTATGATATTGAATGTAGAGAAAGAAAATCTTATGGAAATGCTGATTGACTGAGCCAAAGACCCTGCAAAAATGACTGCAGTCATTGCTACAAAAGAGAGGTTGAACTAACCAGGTGCCATCAAGCTGAAGTCAAAGTGACTGAAGGAGTTGATGATGGTGAAGTAGAACCAGGTATAGATATTAAAGCAGAGCAGGAGAAAGACCAAGATTCGAAGCCAATAATTGATTTTCTACAAGCAAGTGTTTTGCACCCTGCTTGGGAGAAGGTGTCTAGCTTAAGCCCTGTGACAAAGAACTATTGGGCCCAATGGGACCAATTGAAGCTTGAAGATGGTATTCTTGTCCAGAGATGGGAAACTCTAGATGGGAAAGTGACGACCTGGCAAACAGTTATACTGAGAAAGTTACAGGAAGTTGTGCTGCGTCAATCCCATGATAGTTTAACAGGAGGACATCTCGGAGTTAAGAAGACATTAAGTCACCTACAACAGAGATTTTACTGGATAGGTATGAGGCAAGATATGGAAAAGTGGTGCAGGACTTGCAGTACATGTTGTGCTAAAAGGGGACCAAAACATAAGGGACGTGCTCCAATGAAGTTATATCAAGTTGGTGCATCAATGGAAAGAGTAGCTGTTGACATTGCTTGTCCTTTGCCCCAAACTCGTGCTGGAAACAGGTACATTTGTGTGGTGATGGATTATTTCATCAAGTTGCCTGAGGCATATGCAATACCAAATCAGGAAGCTACAACTGTAGCTTCAGCGATTAGTGATTTCTTCTTCAGATTTCGTATGCCATACGAACTGCATTCGGATCAATGCTGTAACTTTGAATCAGCTGTGTTCCATGAATGGTGCAAGTTGTTTGGCATACAAAATACCACGACAACGCCACTTCACCTACAGTCTGATGGGATGGTAGAAAAGTACAATTGGACACTGGGACAGGAATTGGCAAAGTTTTGTAATAGCCACCAAGATGACTGGGATATCTTACTCCCTCCACTGTTGATAGCCTATGGTACAGCAGAGCATGAAGCCACTGGATACACTCCAGCAAAGTTGATGTGTGGTTGGGAACTTCAGTTGTCAGTGGTATGTATTGCCTAGTTTACTAATTTGGAATATTAAGCACTAGCGACCACTAATCTCTGTCTAGGTCTGCCATGTGAACACATAAATGAATGGAAGGCTAGAAGAGATCTTCTGATAATTTGCTTGTTTATTATAGTCATGTTAGTAATTACTTTAGGTGCATTTTTATTGGAGTTTTTTTTTCTTTTTGAATCCCCCATAGATTTAGGCTACTTTATGAGAATGTAGTTCCCTGGAAAAGCAAGTAGATAAGTTGACTACACCTGTTGCTAGGTGACAGTTGGAAGTCCCCCCCCCCCAACTCTATCATTTAGATCAATCAAAAAGATTTTCCTTTCTTAATAAGGATTGGTGATGTATAAATATTCACATTAACTTGATGACTACCGGCTACTAACTTTCTTAGTA